TTTATCATTATTGATAAATCATCGTGTGATCCTAGGAATACACGTTTTCATATGTGTATACATATATATATATATATATATATATATATATATATATATATATATATATATATATATATATATATATATATATATATATATATATATATATATATATATATATATATATATCCAGTTGCAACGTATATCGCTACGTGCATATGCACTTTCACATGTGCTTCTATACATGCTAATGATTAATCATTAAGGAGGGATAACATCTGCAGAGTTATACACGAGCATCGCCAACTGCGCATTTAATTTGCACAATAAGAATATCGTTCGCATTTAATGATTTTCGCAGGGACGAACTTCCGATCGAGAAATCTACGCGATCGTTTGATTAAGAAATTTTCTCCTTTTCCCGATACCATATACGACGACTAGATACAAAAATTAATGACGATTGAATTATTATGGAATTAATTTTTTTTTTCAAAAAAAAAAAACTAAATTTTTTATTAATGATTTACATTTACTTTTTTTTTACGTGTAACTATTATATGCAGATGTAACGATGACATCGAGTATTTTATAAAACGTCACACCCCCATCTTTATGATCGAAACAATTAAAATCGTCAAAGCACGATATAGACGCCAACCATAATTTCCATTCGTCACCGATTGAATTACCCATAAGTCATTGGGAAAAAAAAAAAAAAAAAAAAAAGCACTCCTCATTTCCGGATGATTCCGATCAGCATCCAAGGGCGATAAATAGTCATAGAAAAATATTTCAAAGAGGCCACTTGTTCGTCCCTGATAACAAACAAGTAACCCTGACCACGTTACTAAAAATCATTAATTACAATGACACACGTGCTTAATTATCAGGACAGTCTAAAGATAACAAAGAGAGTCAATTTTTTATTTTCAAAATAAATAATTAAATTACCTTTACTTGAATCGTATTAAAATATAATTTTTAAAAATATTTTTTTTTGAAAAACTAACCCCCTCCCCCCCTAACCACAGTACCGCCGAGTGTCACGTCATAAAAGTAATATCGTTAAATTTTTGCCAAAAAAATTTTCATTTTTTCACCAGTCATTCAAAATCGATCAAATTGATGAAAACGCTATGAATTTTACGTACGAGCGAAGAAAGCTGTGGCGCATTAATGTGTGTCGGTATAAAGACGTTCGCCAATACAATTGCACAGATTATTCGCAACTACGTGCGGCTTGCGAAAGGCGTAGTGAATTGCGTCATTTGGCTTGCGAACTGGCCAGACTAGACGTCGCCAGTCTCGCGCGAGTGACCAGTGTACTGTTATATATATATATATGTATATATATATATATATGTGTATATATATATATACATGAAATATATAAGTACATAAATGGATACGCACGCATGATATATATATATATATGTATATTATATATAATATAAAATCGCTACTTGAAAAAGTGCATCTTAAGTTAAATTGAGCATTGATAACGCTCACGATATTTTTTTAATCAATAATAACAATGATTTTAATTATTTAAAAAACTATGACATCAGCACGATTTCTCATTCCAATATGCAAGTTATTCGCTTGTATCTATACGGTGCGTATCCACTTGTTTTCATCGTTCATACTTCTCTCTCTCTCTCTCTCTCTCTCTCAATTCACTTTCTCGCTCTTTCAAATTGCAGAAATAATTCGGAATTGCGCCGCGAGCAATGAGCCACGTGGTTCAATTATTTTTCTCGTTTCTTTATTACGGCAGAGCCTCGTGACCTTGACGTCCACTACAATATATATATATACATTATGTACGTATATCATGCATATATATATGCACGCATATCGTGAATCCCAAGTTGGGAAATGATATTTCTCGAAATACGCATAAAGAATCCGAAGGCTTATCGGTCGTTAAAATTTGCGCGGATGCGTCAGCCCGGAAACCTTGAAAGAAAAAACCGCGCCAGCAGAGCGACGTCGTCATCCTTGCAGAGGTGCAAAGTGCACTTCCGGCCTGTTTACCATTTTTCTTCTCTCTCTCTTCAGTCTCGCTCTCTTTTCTCCTTGGTCCCTGCCCTCCCCGCCCCATCGCTCCCTTCGGCACGCACACGCACGCTCAGCGCACAGAGTGGCGGAACAAAAGACCAAAAAAGCGCACGCACTTACGCATGCGAGTCAACCAAACGGATCGCACCGTTTTGCCCGGTCCCGATACCAGCGTTTGCCATTACGAGCAAAGACGGTTGATTCGGCGGGAAACGGGGTGTATTTGAAAATTTCAAAAATTATTATGTACAGAAAATAAATTTTTTTTTTTTCACCCTCCACCTTCCCCTTGCCCTGTCGTACTCAGCGGCTGGCCGAGGGTCAAAGTGCGTTGCGGCTGTCACAGTGAAGCGTAGGGATCGAAATGGCGGCTTGAACTTTGACGTATTTCTTTTTTTCTTTTTCTCCTCTGCCAACATAGTCGCGCCGGGTGTCGGAGTTAGTGACACGATCGTTCAAGTATGTATCACACGTAATGCACGTCCTTGGCCTTGAACGTATCAGCAGCCCCCATACGAGCGAACGTGCGCGTCGTGTGTGCCGAGACGAGTATGTGGAAAATGCGGGTGCACCGGTCGTCCGTGACTCTCGGATTCTCGTTCTTTTCCTGACGATTCATATTTTTCTTACTTCTGTTTTACTTTTCTTCCCCTTTCGATGGCTGCTTCGTCGGGCGCGCATGCGCACTGGCCACTTGCTTATACGGCGGTATATAATTTTTTAAGGTTTCTTTTTGGGGGGGAATTTCATGCAGACGTCAAATTTCATCGAACTGCCTCTGGAAAGTCAAGTCAAATGGCTATTGGGTAAATGTCAATTAATTTATCATTTTGCGAATGGACTTTTAATAATTTATTATTAAATCACGTGCTTCACGTCTGATCTTAATTTTACCTCGGGAACGAAGAAGCGAGTGATCTCTGGATAAGATTTTATTTTTTTTTGATTTCCTGTGAAATCCAACGAGACCCTGATCGTTATTATTGTTATTGTTATTTTCACAGCTGTTTACGTGCTGTTTACTTTCTTTTTTTTCAATTGCTATCACTAATCGTCGTCTCGCGCTCGACCTGAGTAGTCAATAATTTTTTTTTCCCCTTTCTCACCGATCGATCGAGAAACACACAGATCCGTATCAAATCGGATTAGAGTCTTATACGTCATCGGTATCGCGATTGACTTTGTATAAATTATTGTTGACCGTGGATGATAACGAGGAATACTCATCCATTCCCTTATCAGGTGAAACAGATCACGAGATTTGCGTTTAGATATCTGATAGCTGTATTCAATTTCACTTCATCTATTTTCCCGTTGTTTTTTCTTTTCAATTATACGCAGCATCCTGGAACATGACAGAGTGAGAATCAAATTTGATTTTGATCGCCGAAAACAAATAATGACAAGGCAAACATATGTAGGTGTTTATCCTCATGTCTTATTGTCTTTTTATTAAAATCCACAGTGAAAATATTTTCGTTATCAATACACCCAAAAAAGAAAACAAACGGAAAGTTGATTTAGTTTTTTTGTTACCCTAGCAGCCATGAAAATTATAGTCTTTTTCTTTTTTACTACTTCCATTCGTTTTAGTGTTATTATTATTGCCTTTCCTTTTTTCGCCGCTTTCTCGTTCGCCTATGTTCTGTGTTGTAACCGTCGTTCTCAAAAAAAAAAAAAAAAAACCGAAGAGTAGTTAGTTCACAATCGGACGTCGCGACGCTCGGACAGTCGATAAGTTTCGTATCGTTCTGAAGTGAAATACCGCCTTAGCGAGATGACATCGATTGGACGAAGAAGAAACAGAAGGAAGTGAATATGGATCGTGAAATCAAATACCCGCTTCTACACGTACCTAACCTGAGTCTGCTGATTGGCTGATATCAACACTGGTGAGTGATTTTTAGATGCAATAATATATATAATCTGTCCACGAGTAAGAAACATTCAGCAGGGGCCATTTTAGCATGAGTTTCAAAAGTAAAAGGCTCACTGATTACCTTAAGATGACGTAGAAGATGACCGGATGAATCCTGGTATGGGACGCGTATGTACGACCTGGTTTTCCAATAGCCAGACCGGCTCGATCAGGGCCTTCGAAACATACAGTTGTAATAATTAAAAAGAAAAGATTGCTTATCGAATAGGCTATTAACTATCAGTGACCGCGATCTTAATGTATCCGCAACACCGAGACGATTTTTCGAGGAAACAATAAGCAGTGCTGCCAATTATGTGCGAATACAAATCATCACCTTTTATTTTTATCATTGTTAACGTACGCGCACTGATTTGTCACGTATTGAATTCCAGCACCACATTTTCACTGTAAGGTATCCACTGAGTCACGTGAGAACATTTTAGGACGCTAAACGTATAGTGAAGTTAGGAAACTTATAATGTAAAGCCCCACAAGCATCTTGGATTGAATGGAGTTTATGTAGTGAAAATATTCGGGTCGGCTATTCGAAAATAAAAGTTTAACAACGTTTTAAAATCCCGACCACTCAATGGGCCTTATATACGTAACAATAGCCATACCCCTGCTTCACGGGGTTCACGAGGTATATTTATAATGAACATTTGCAGCTCATTCCTCTGTACCGTTACAAATAGAGATTTTCCAATTTCTTTTTTTCTCCGCTTTCTTAACTGTTTACATACCTTGCACGATTGGGCCTTCAAGAAAAACGAATATCCTACGGCGAGTACTACGGGAGGAATTTTTTTTTCTTCGACTTAGGAAGCCATGATGGATTCGAAGGGACAGGAGAGACGCTCATAGAAATTCTTTCACTCGGAATAAAATAATAAAAGACTATAAAACAGCTCGAGTGAATCCACCTAGTAAAATCTTCGAGTTCTCCCCGCCGAAAGTAGAACGGTTATCATTCTTTAAATAAATGAAGTGACAATAACTTGTGGTCATGTCAAAATTGTAAGTCCGTGCATAAATATCGCGACGAAACATTCTTTTGACTAGTTCAATCTCGCTCGCTGCTGCGTATTGTTCGGCTATACTCGGCTCGGCTCGGCTCGGCTGTATTCGGCGAAGCTCGTAATTCCCGATCGCATATAACCGTACGTAAAACTTATTAGTATGAATGGCGCCGATAGACACCCAAGGCGCTTCCTTCCTTTTCGAAACACATAATTACACGGTTCCACGTTGTTTTTGGTGAACACACGGACGCGTTCACAATCTCGCGCACAAGTATATATTAACCGATTGGTACGAGTGTTCGTAAAGTGATCACGAAGTGCCTCATGAACGCCCTGACGCGGTCCTGTTTCGCCATGCGCCATATGCCGGTCCTGCTGCGAGGCCTCTTACACAACCCAAGTTCTCTTGCGAGCACATTTTAAACCATTCGACATACTTAACCAAAAGTATAGGCTGCGTCCACACCAAAAAACAGGAAGACGAAACACCGTATGATACAGCAAACGTAACATAACCTCCTTTTAACCTTGTGCTTCTTCGCGTCTTCTTTTCGTTAATCGCACTCGCTCAAGCGTCTACGCAGCATCAAAACACGTCCTGACGTCTTTGACATTGTGAAATCGAGATTGATTCTGTGGAAGGCAACAGAATGAAGATGTCAGTTCAATTTTAAAATTTCAATAGTGCCTCCGCGAAGATCGGATAAAAGCATTGGGACTCTTAATGACGTACGTAAGTGTTTAACGTAGTTTATGAGTTTATATTGACTTGGGTGACCTTTTACATTGAATTTATTAGGATGCTGAGCAGGTGCTCTTCTTTGCTGGTTTCTCGAACGGTTTCGGAAAACGTTGTGAACCCGGCTTAAGTCTCGAAGCATAAGTGTTTGGTTTACGAGGGTGTTGGTGGCTGGGCATCTGTCGAGGAACACGCGAAAACATCAGCTGTGCGGCCTGCAAGGCTGGTCGGCTGGATGGGCTGCTTGGTTGGATGACTGACTGGTTGACTGGCTGGTAAGGCACACCCTGAAACAACCAAAAGCTTACAGCAGTGTAAATCCGACACATGGGAACGCTTGTTCTGTGGTTTTCAGTTCCTAATGTCGAATGATAATTGCCAGTGAAATCTAATACGTATGTATTCTCGATTATGTTGGGTTAGGTGGTATTGTATTTGCAAAAATCAATCGAGGGGAAAACCTATTGTTGATTTTGATGGGTGTAAAGTTACTTGGTCATTTTTTTTTTAGAGGACTGGAAATACTCTGTCTCGTTAGCAATTTAGTGTAAGGTAAAAATTAATAAATTGGTAGAGAATGAAAGTTGTTCAATCGGTACGACTAGGAAAAATATTTTCGAGGATTTATTTATCGACGGATATTTTTTTTGTTACTTTTCGAAAGTTTACACTCATGCGTACTGTATGCGACGCTATCTGCTAAATCAACTGGGGAAGCAAAAGAATGATAAAAAGGATAAAAACAGTGAGCAAAGAGTCCATGAAAAGATTTTTACGAGCCATGTAAGCAGCGCCGGAAGGATTTCGGATTTCGAGTTTAAGAAGCTTTGCCCTGAATTTCGTCGTACGGAAAGCAAACATTGTTAAAAGTTTAACATAGACTGTACCCTGTCTACCATTCTAACAGAAACCAAAGTTATCCTTCGGGATGCATCGGGAAGAGGGGGGTGGAGGGGGGGGGGCGGTTCTTAGCCAGTAAATACACATTCTAAGGCGCCACCACTATAAGCCTCCATCCTGTTATGTATATTTTTATGATTGAAAAGTTTTTGAACAAATTTTCACAACAGAAAACATCTCGATAACGTCCACGACACTCTGATTGCATTGAATCCTGAAGTATCGATAACTTCGTCACAATAAAATGTATTTCTATGAAAATTTGAACGTGGAATTTGATTATCGTAAGAAACCAAAATCGACGTAGACGGTTCAGGTATTAATTTAATTTGGTGTATGGAGAAACTGAGAATTTTTGAATTTGAATTAAAAATATATTATCGATCAGCCGCCAATGGCGTCTTACCGCGAAGCCGTCGGAAATTGTCGGAAACAATTCGCACCGGAAGCGGGTGGGCCTAACCGCTGGTTTCCGGTTAACAGGATTTCACGGGGCTGTGCCGCTTTCGAATCGCTAAAATTCCTGAAGACGAGCGAAGAAGACAAAGACTTATTCATTCGTGATACACATGAAAATTTTTCTGACAGCCATTTCCTGGAGTTCGTATCTATAGGCGATGTTATGTTTTTTTTGCTTTTTTCTTTTTTAATCTAACTTCGATATCTGAATTACTTGTTTTCTTTGATTTTTTTTTTGTTTTCATTCAACCAATTTTGTATTTCCAAGATAGCAAAGCCCCAATCGTTTATACACTGGTACTATTAAGTATACCTATAGGATTATTCAGTGCAAACTCCACGAATTGATGTTGGTTCTACCATAGGAATGAAATGTACAGGCCTAACTTCAGGTGGTACGTTTGGCCTGAATAACCCTGTATAACGCACGAGAATTTATGTTACGTTACGTTGTATATGTAATCTTAATATGACAATCAGATAACATAATGATGTATATGGAAGTTCGATACGGAAAGTTTGGGTGGGTTAAGTTGGTACGACATTTGACGTGTAATTTCATCCGAATGACGACGGATATAGCCGACCGCACGATACAGGAAGTCATCGTATCCTTTCCTCGAATCCTGTCCGATATTATTTTTTGCATTTTTCTATTTTTCATTTTTCGAATCTTTTTTTTTTTCGTTTTTATCAATTCCTCTCTCACGTGCGCTACCTGATTAAGCCGTTCGATAAAATGGTGAATAAGAAAAATTATCAATCATGGATCCAGATGAAATAATATTTTTCAAAATTTTTCTTACTTTTTTCATTTTTCTTCCCTTCCACTTATTATTATTATCGTGCTATACGTTCTTGGTTCTCCTGATTTCTCTCCTGATTCTTGAATGTATGTATATATATATATATCTTTCGATACATTCTCTACTAATATTTGATCAGGCCCGGAACTCCACTTGGATGCCCTACAGACCGTATCTTTATGATACCAAGATAAATTTCGCGTAGTTGAAGTGGACGTTCGAGTTTTCCGCAAATAAATCGCACGGAATTTGGTCGTGCGAAAATGTTGATTCGCAAAAAAGAAAAAACGTTACTACTGTAGATTTTTGTAAATTCAAGAAGCATATTCGTAGGCGGGGATGAAAATTCACAATTGCGAAAACCACGGTGTTACTTTCGCCGAGGCGTTGAGACTGTCGATACGTTAGGACATGAAATTGCGAATTACGTCATCGATTAAAAAGTACGAGCTCGCAGCTGCGTAACGACGGGAAGCGATATTTTCAATTCAAACTGAAAATACGTATGTATCAGTTAAATAGTTCCAGTTCTTTTTTTTTTTCACTCGGACAGTTTCGTCGTTGATGATCTTTGCAGAAAATTCGCAAATCACGATTCATAATGAGCGCTGTTGACGTAAAATAGATTGATGGACCGTTCGATAATTATCGAAAAAAAAAAAAAATAGTATCCAGACAAAATAACCCATGAAAATATAATTCCACGAAGTTATCTTAAACAGGATATAGTGGTTGTTGCACACGAGAATATCCCACTTCCTTTGAAGCGCGAAATCTGAGAAGGGGCCCAAGGGTTCACATTTTTCTTAACCCCCCGTACCCCCCCTGCC